TAAAAGTCACAAGACCTCCAACCAGGACCTGTTCAGGTATCCATATCGTATACTCTGCAACATCAGCATTGCAGATTTTTTTACAAGCTGCAGCATAACTGAACAGCACACACAGAAGAAAAGGCTGTTGTGTTCTCTTCAAAATTAGAATGCCTATTTATAATACACAAATATGTAACTTTAAAAATATCTGTCTAGATTTTAAGTTGTTTGTTTATATGCCTTTTAGAAAGAGACATGTAATTGAACCGTATTTATTATCTAATGGCATAAAACCTAGCATGCTTTCTTCTTTTGTTGACACTTGCAGAACATGGAATTTAAAAATGAAGGTAGAAAGTATCCACAGAATCATGGAGATGCGTGTAGAGAACAAATACAGGAAGGGGATGAGGCAAAAAGGAAAGATGTGGATAATGGTAAGGCAATACGTGGAAATTCTGCTTGAGAAGAACAAACACAAATGCCAAAAACAATGCACTAGCTACATTTAGTTGGAAGATCTGGAGAGCAAACATAAGCATCCAAAACAAATGAAGCAGGTTAGCCAGAGTGTCTACCGGCCCCAGGGTCACACAGTCCTGCTCCAACTGCCAGCAGTGTCCATATGGAACAGGAAGCTTTCCAAATTCTGGCTGTATAGAAAAGACTATTGGCTTTTTTTCCATTTGCTGTGCAATGTACATTGCAGTGCAAAGCCACATCAGGAACACCTGAATCAGTGTATCTGCACTGCAAGTGCTATGGTACGCAGAATAACTTATGGTCTAGAAGCAAAACCCTACTGCTAGTCTGCTCCTCCTACCTATACACACACACGTTTTCTTAACTCCTTTTAGTTGTTGTTTTGTTTTAAACATATCTAATACCAGACCAGGCTGCCCACGATCAATTTCCTTAAGTGTTGTAGTCCTTTGGATTTCACTCTAGAACACTGTGCTATGTATTACTTCATTTAATTGCCAGTACTCTGCAGAAAGGTCAGTTCAGTTCAAGATTATCCTCTTTCTAAAGCTGTGGAACCAAATGAAGTTCTCACATGTTCAGAATAGGACACAATCTTATATTCAAGCCAAATTAATTTTCAAAGCCTTCTGCGAGTCCCCTCTAGCAGTTTGTTCTTTCAAGTATCAAGTTCCACTTGGTCCATTGCCTTTAGGTATTTCATACAAAAGGTTGCATGTAGTCTCTGTCACACCCAAGTTCAGGGAGCATAGTGTTCACTTTATGCTCCCCTTGCTTTTCCTTCATGGGAACACTAGCTTGGTGCTACTTAGCTTGGTGCTGATTCCAATTGCCATATTTACCTTCTATCTTCTTCCTTCTTATCAGATGCTAGCCAACAAATAATTTTGATACTGTAACGGAGTTACCAAGATAGATTGACTCAAAAAATTCTCCTACATGTTCTACTGGATCTTACAACTTGGTGAAAAATGGTACACTTCAGATGTACCATTCCATGAAAATCAGACTTGCCCAACCATTCCAGTGAGCTCCACTAATGCCATACCTGCTACCTGGGGTAATCCATCTTTGCAATACAAACTGTTTTTTTTTTTTAAATACATATATTTATTTTGCTTTCCTTCTCCATTGCCAGTATTTTGAAGATAAAGAATGGGAAATTAGACTTCTTCAACATGAAGATAATTCATAAATAATTCTCATTTATTTTTCTGTTATAAATTCAGAAATTAGGGTTGCTAATTTCTAATTAAATTACAAACGAAGCCCCATTTGTGGGTTTCTCGCAGGCTTCTCTCACCGACCCTGGTTTTGGTAAGCAGTAACATGGTTACTCAATAGGCTGTTTTCCCCTGGAGCTATTCTTGTCCTGTATCAGACGAGCACATCCAAAGTCTCCTTCCAATGCCACATGTAAAAAAATATTGCCAGGTAAGTGAATGCACAGTAGCTTGTTTTGAATATTTATGTCTTACGGAATAAGTGTTTTACCTTTAGTCAGTGTGGCCTGGAATCAAATCTCACGGAACTTCAGCACAAACTCATTGTTCTCTCCTTTTTGATGTTTTCCTTGGTGGCAGTAAATATCAGATTTCTCATATTTTTTAAGAGACATTCAAGTAAACATGGATGTGATTGGCTTCAGGTTGCAAGTAATATCAACTGCCAAGCTGTCTCTAGATCTTTTTTTAACACTACCAGTACTTATTTTACTCAAAACCCAATACTTCACATGGCTACTATTGCAGTTTCAACTCTTAAAACTTCTTCATTGGAAACCAAATGCCCATAAGGTTGTTTGCTTTTACCAGAATCATTTTCAGGAGGAATTTCTGCAGGCTGGGTTTCTTACAAAGTAATAGCCACACTGAAATCCAATGACTTATGAATGCATCCACTTATCCAGATACCTATGTTGCTTGAATTTCACGGGACCAATTTCCAAGCCCAATTCTACCACATAAGCAGCCAGCACATATTTTCCAGTTACCACTGTGATTCAAATCCAGTTAGGAGTTCTTGGTTTGTACAAAGTTCACCATCCCTATTAAAACAACAGTGTGTTGGAGCATCATCTGTAGTTGTCGAGTGCTTTGAAATTTCTGGAACAGGATTGCAGCTGTTTAAATACCTGCATATCTAGAACTCTTCCACCAAAGGCCCCCTGTTTCCCAGGCTCTGCAAAGTATTCTTTCACCATGCCATGTAGTGGCCTGCCTTTGGCTTATAGCAGTTCTCTTTAACAGAAGTTTCTTTTCTACCATGTCAGCATTTAGCTGTACCACTTCCTGGAGTTTTTATTTTATTTCTGATTTCCCTCATTTTACAGATCGGATTAGCAACTTTCCCCAAAACGTAAAGAATGTTATCCAGCAAATCACAGCCCCTTTTCCCATGATGTACAGCCATAGTGGTTACAAGGCTGAGATACTGCTTACCCAGTCTGTATTACTGGCTACAAGCTACCGCTGCTGCTTATATCTGAACTGAACACCAGCCTTTTTCAGAATGTCTCTACCGAATTGTTAACACCTGGGCCACTCAAGTTGGATTTTAATTAATTTTTCACCTTGTCTGTGTTATCATGCAATTAGCCTACGAACTTGGATTTCCACAGGGCACTTGCAGATTCTTGTACCACTTCAGCAGAAACAGCACGCCTCCTACCCTAGTGTAACGCTGGATGAAAAGAGGGAGCTGTAGACACATTGCCTTACTCAAGTTTTTATCTAACCCAGTTTTACAGCTAACAGCTGCAGTGACTATAATCCATTGATTCTCCTGCACGGTCTCTTCTTTTAAGTTCCTTCCTTCCTTCCTTCTGGTCTCCCCTTTCTTCCAGCCAAAGATTAGCCAGAGCTTTCTCCTGATTCCATGGTATGCTCAGAGTTTGCTTTAATACAATGTACAAGACTCCAATTTCTCAGTTCAGGCCTTTTTTTTCTCTCTCTTCTCAGCACCTCCGGCTCTCTCAAAACAGCTCATTTCATTTCTGCCAGCTGTGGCCTCTCTGAATGCCTCACTAATTCACGCCGTACCTGATATGGCCGGGGCAGTGAGCACCGTGCTGCGGTTTGATTAGGAAGAAAGCTTGGTGCTGAAATCAGGTGCCTGTGGTGTAATCGTGTTACCGTGGAACGAGGCTGAAAGCGCTCCTTCCCTCCCCACTAAGTGCCGTCAGGCAGCACCATGACTGCAGACTTCTTTCAAGTATTATTTGGTCCAAAAACCTGAGAGGATTTTTCCTTACAATTTGTCTTCCACAGGGGGTTAACTGGTTATCCTCATCGCTTTCTCTTTTGTTGCTTTTGCCTCTCGGATACAAAGTCTCTTTTGTAAAATAGCAGCCAGTTGGAGCTCCTTAATTCAGAGACAAGTCTCTTGATATCAGGGATACGTAACTGTTGCAGGTAGGACAGCAATTCCTTACTCTTAATTTATAATAGGACAATTACCTTGTTTTTTTTTTTCTTTTTTTCTTTTTTTTTTTCTTCTTTATTATCATTTCCTTGTCCTCATTGCTATTATGAGGAGATCCCTGGAGGTTTTCAAGGAAAGAGTAGATGTGGCACTGAGGCACGGCTTAGTGGGCATGGCGTGACGGGCTGACGGTTGGACTAGATGACCTTAGCGGTCTTTTCCAACCTTAACAATTCTATGAGTCTGTGAGCTAATTGTAACGTGCTCTGCAAACGTCTCGCTCACCCAGGCCAATGAAACCTGCAGGCTGCCAGTGAGAGCTCTGTGGTCCTGCAAGCACCCAGGGTTCTCTCTCAGCACTTCCCAGCTCCATCACTGCCAAGTGACCTCACAGCCCAGTGCCAGCTCTTTGCTGGGGGGGAAGACCATCCCTACCTATGGGTACATTGCTGACCCACAACCAGACATATGCGTGCAATCGCTTCATCCTGCAGCAACCAAGCACACAGCTGAGCCACCCATCTGCGCAGCTCTCCTGGCCTTCCTGCTGCTCCTTTAAAAATAATAATAATAATTAAAAAACAGCCACAGAGTGGGCTTATTCTGCTGCACAGCCCCAGGCAGTCATGCTCTGGACTGCTGCGATAGCTTTCATGCGCTAAGAGCATCCATTTAATTAAGATGTCGTGTAGCAGTGAGACCTACAAAGAGGAAAGCAGGCCCAGCCGGACAGCTGGATAGCCAGATAGCTGGACAGCACGCAGCCGGGCAGCCGGACCCCGCGCCGCTCAGCCCCGCAGCGCCGCCACCCCCGCGCCGCTCAGCGCTGCGCCCCCCGGCAGCGCAGTGCGGGCCGAGCCCGCCGGCTCTGCGGTCTTCACACAACACCGTAGCGTAGACGTCTTCGGGCGCTCAATTTGCATAGTCCCCCGCGCGCGTCCAATGGGCGGGCGACTCCGGCTGTGTCATTTGCATGGGCACGAACGGCGGCCAATAGGGTGGCACCGCCGAGCCCGTTCGGAACGCGATGTTTCCACCCGCGCGGGGCTCCGGGGCCGGCGGTGCGGGTGACACAGCGAGAGGCCGCGGATCGCTGCCCGGAGCCGCCGCACGCCGGCAGCCGCCTCGGGGTACGGGCTCCGCGGGGAGCCGCCCGCGGCGGGAGGATGTCCGTGGCGGGGCTCAAGAAGCAGTTTCACAAAGCCAGCCAGGTAAGGGAGCGGCGGCGGCGGGCTGGACTCGGAGGAGCGGCTCCCTGGGGTTCTCCCTCTGAGCGGGTTCTGGCATCGCCGCCCCGGGACGCGTCCTTCGGTTGCGGGGCGGCGGCTGCACCGCCGGCCCCATCTCGCTGGGTGCCCCGCGGCCGGCCGAGGAGAGCGTGCGAGGCGGGCCGCCCCTGCCCTCCCATCTCCTGGGGCCCGGCTCTTCGCTTCCAGTTATTGCTTTTGTTACTGGCATTTCTTTTGCGCTGGTTCTGGTTTGTGCCCCGTGGCCTCAGTTGAAGACGGGGGCTGTGAGGTACCGGCCGTCCCCACAGAGTTCGTTGTTGTCCTCGCTGAACGACTCCTGCTGTTTCCCTACCTGGCATACCACGCATCTGTCCTATAGGGGGTACTCTGCGTTTCTAGAGTTTTCCCTCCTTCTCTGGATGCTGTACTCAAATCTTTTCCTGAGCCTTCACATTCTCTCCCGCTGCAGCTTTCCCACTTTCCCTTCCCGCAGTGCTGCACGGTGGGGTTCTCCAGTGGAGGAGTTTGTGAGTTCCGCGGAGATCGGTCCTCCTGCCGCCTCTCCTTAATGATGATGGCAGTACTAACATGAGTTCTGTAACCTGTTTGTCCAAGCTGACAGCTGCTCCTGCTTGGAGCACGGGAAATAAAGGCTCAGAGCCGCTGAGCTGCCTTTCTGCAGGTCCTGCAGTAGGTAGCTGGGGTCTCTCCAGCCCAAACATGGCTTTGGTCAGATACTGACAGGCTGAGTAATTGTATCTAGCATTTATTGTCAGTAGTGTTATTTCTTCTGTGCTCTGTATCAGTCTCAAGGAATGCCACACACCTAGATATTTAGTCAACTTTCACTGCCTCTTTGCAAAAATGAGGGCTCTCTGGGTAAACAAACCCAAGGACAGCTTAGCAAAGGCTTTGGTTTGTTCTGCAGCCACCGTACTGTAAATGGTGCAGCCTTTGCTGTGCCGAGTTGGTAACACAGATGGTATTTTAGTATGGAAGTTAAAGAGGTAACCACAACAAATGCTTCCAGTCTGACGGCTGCCAACAGTGTGGCAGGTTGCTTAATCTGGGCACGTACACATAGCGAAGAACTAAATAACCGAGGGGGAAGCTGGAGAAGGTATCATTGGTGGCAGAATGGAACAGAAGGATATATTGAACTTGCCCGGGTATTTCCTGAAATGCTGTGGTACGTCCTCCAGTGTTCGTTACAGTAGGAAACTGGGATGCATAAGTCTAATATTTGATAACGTTCTTCATCTTTGGCCAAATGCGAAGTTTCCTTTCACTGTCAAATGAAGAAGTGAGTTGCATTTTAAAGGAAGCGGATCTGAACAGCATCTTCTTCAAGAAGGAAATGTTCCTTAGTAGAAAATGCTCGTGCAGGAAAAAAGCCGAGATTGGAACTGGATTTCTTTGGTGCTTAAGAGAACACGATTTACTTCTTAGGAGTTCCTTCTGGAAGACTTCAGATCAGACATTGAGCAAAATGATATAAAAATATATAAGTACATAGAGAACAATTGTGGAAAGTAGCAGAAAATGGGATGGTGAGGGCACACACAATAGAAATATCGGTACTCCATCTTTCAGCTTAATTCTTTTGCACGATGCTAAAACAAGCAAGTGCAGATATCTCTCAGCAGGACGTTTTATGAATCTCTTAAGTACTGTGGGAGCACTTAAGGAGGTGTATCATTTGTGTATTGAAAGGCTGAGAGATGCCAAGGGTAACTACTAACAGCAGACACAGGCACGGCTCGGGGAGAGAATGAAATTAATTCCTTGCTTTAATGTTCCCAAAGGAGAATGGGGGCAGATGACAAAACTGGCAAATTTCCCAGAGGACGCTGAGGAATACTGAGAGGAATGAGAATTGTGCCAGGACATGTGATTGAAGGAGAATATTTGAAGGTTGGCAGAACCTAGAGACAAAAAAAAGTCTGAAGGATGAAGCAAGTGAGTTAAGACAGTCTGTATTTAATAAGTTGATTTTAAAATGCGAGTAAATATCACAGAAGTGACAAGATCTCTGTATTTTCAGAAGATAATAGTTCCATGTTACAACAGATGTCTATTTAACTGAAATAACCCGCAGTTCCGACTGATCTATAGACTGATGTAGATCTAGGGTTATAGACCACACAGTTATAGAAGAAATCCAAATACATCATTTAGTGTAGCATTTCTAACAGCTACTCACTTATTGCAGAACTGTTTGGTTTTCTTCATTGCTTTTTTTTTTTTTTTTCCAGGGGAAATACATTTTCTGTATGTCTTGCTTTAGACTCCGAGGTAAAAAAAGGAACCAATACTTTTGATTGTATGTGTGCAGTAGAGGCTTATTGGCTTATTCCTTCTGGGATGTTTGTCTGATGCATGCCAACGTGGTTTATCTGAAGTTACTGCTGAGTAAATAGGTGTTCACTTTAAGAAAAAGGTCAGCAGTCACCTTTGTATGGCTCCTAAAGCCCTCCCCCAAGCTCAGATGTAACATGCTGTAACATGCTAAAAAGTCCCCGTATCTCCATGTTTGCAATCCATACACTCACAATAGGAGTTCTTTATGGTGTGAGTGTGTAGATTTTCACCTGTTCAGGGGCAAGGGTTGGAAGGCAGCTCTGAGTCATGGGCGTTTGTTTGCACTGCTGCAGTAACGTTTGGGCTGTTTGTGCGTTGCAATACCTAATTGCACTCCAGCCTCTCTACCCTGCCAATTGCTTCATCAGGGATGCAGAAGTGATAGACCCAAACCAAGCTGTGTGTCTGTGGCGTAATAGATGATAGCTTTTAGGAGTGCTAGAAATAGCTTTACTGTGCTTATTATGTGGACTGTAATTTTGAATTGAAACATTCAAGTCGATGTGTTTTCAAATAGATTAATTTTTTTAATTAGCCCCAGGGAGTTCTGTTCTCAATGGAAAATTTGCCTCCTGTCACTTTCAGATGCTGACATATCTGTTTTCCTGTTGTCGAGTGCAGCCTTTGATGCAGGTGGGTGGATCTCTGTGCGGCTGCGCACGTGGCGCGGCACAGGCAGTGGGAGGGCTGTGCCTTCTGATGCTCACCAGGAGTATTTTTAGAGAGCTGTTCTGTTTAGAAAAACTGTAAGTACAGAGCGTGGATAGGATGGCCTTCCTTTTCAGCAGGTGCTGCTGTAGCTTCTGCTGTGTTCTATCAGCCCAGCCAGGCTGGCATCTCAGTGCTGTGATGTTGGTCCCTTTCAAAGCAGGAGGCTGGGTGTTGGGAGCCTCCCTTCCCTTAGTTGTTCTGAGTGCTCAGCCATGACACTGCTGTAAGACCTTAAATTCATGTTTTTTGTCTTTTGTTAATTAGTTGTGTTAGAAGTACGTCTATGGCAGCAGTCTCAGTATCAACAGATTATTTGCAGTGTATTTCTTAGGCTTGACTACTCAGAGGCTGTAGAAATCAATACTTTTTTTTTTTTTTTTTTTTGTGAAACACAGGCCTGCAATTATTGTGAAAATCTTATTTGCAATGTAAGCATGAGCAATGATTGTCAGTGAATGCAGATTGACTTCTTAAACCCTTTCTAACTGTTAGTGAAGAAAAAAAGGGCAGAGCTATTCAGGTGTTGCTTCTGCCTGTAGATAAATGTGAACAGGTTTTCTAAGCAGAGTTAGTACAATATTTTTTACTTCTGAAAGTGGTTTACTTATATGCTCTGGGCACTTCTCTTGTATTGTCCTGAATGGCATTTGTCTTTTCAAGTAGTGCATCTGTCATCTGTTTGTAGCAATGTTTTTGAAGGCCTTTTTCTATCGTGTGTGCTTGGCTTTTGTTCCTTGGCTTTTGGCTCTCACCAGCAGTTACAAGGATGCTTGTTCTCCCCCAGATTTCTGCTGTTACTCTGTTGATTTATGTGGCACGTTGATCCAATCTGCTGGATTGAAAACCAGATCAGAATGGAGACCTTATTACCCACACAGAATAAATCTTGTTAGTTGGGTTTTGTTTGCTTTGCTTTCCTGACAAAATAAAGCTTAAAAAAAAGAAAAAAAGAAAAAAAAAAAAAAGTGCTGAGTCACAGCTTGAAGCAGTGATGGAGCACCTGGTGGGAAGGCAGGGCCAACCCACGGGAGGTGTATCTCGCTGGAGGTCCCTGCATACTTGAAAGGCCTGAGGCCTTTCAAGGGTGAGCAAATATTCTTCCTTCATTTTTGTGTCCTCAGCTGCTGTGTTTGGGCTTGTCCTTATTTTGCAGCAGCCTGGGACTTTGCCACTCACCCCACAAAGTGAGGTTACACAAGTAGGCAAAAAACACAAGTTGCAAACAAACTTTAAATGCTTTGGTAAACTGAGGGAAAGACAGACTTTGCACGAAGAAAACCTGACCTTGCCTTTGAGACACCAAAAGGCAGCCTTTACTAACTACTGAGTGGTACATGCAGATCTATTTCTGTCCTGCAACTAGAAGCTGTTACCATCCAGCTGTGAGAGATACTGTTCCTTCACATCTAACCTGAATTGGGCACAATGAATCCAGGACCTCAGCAGGGACACCTTCTATCCTGTTCCTAGACTTTATTACATAATCTGAGGTATTCATTTGCAAATCTGTTAGAATAATAGGAGCATGATAGTGGAAAAAAGACATTGAGTTTATTGTTGGAGATGTTTTGAAGTGGATAATTCTAATTCCTCTACATGGCTCATAAAGCAGAATAAATCCTCAACCAATGGCAGGGACAACAAAATGACATTCCTCTGTCTTCTGTGTACATGAAGATATCACACTGGTCACTGCTGCTCATCTTTACCTGTGTTGTGGCTGGAGACTCCTGTTATGCAATCAGGTAACTACAAAACTGTACTGCAGCTGATGATGCACTGCTCATCTTGTATTCCTGAAACGATGAGAGGAGAGGATTTGTGTAAGTTTCTGAGGTCTTGTTTGAGGATGGAGTTCTTGCTGGGTGTTCTTTTGTTGTTGATTGGTTTTCCAGGACCGGAGTATGAGG